ATTCAAAACTCACACGCAACCGCTGCGGCGGAAAAGGGCATAAGAAGTCATGTTACCTGACGAATCGTCCAATTTTGCCCAAGAAAATGCGTAACGGCGCCAGATCGTTCCGGCGTCCCAATTTGACAAGATCTATCACCGCAACTTTCAAGCTTAACGGGACCAGCAAGCGCAAATACACAATTGTCATGGTCAACGGCGTCCAAGTCAGGTTGTAAATCGACACTGCTTCAGATATCACCATGGTATCTTGCGACACTTGGTGCATGCTGGGGTGACCGACGCACATGCAAACGAGCCACACGGCCCGGAATGCTTGTTTGGTGAACTGAATTGTCGGATACACTTCCACAATAAACAAATCCAGACGACATGGTTCGTGACAGACTAGCCGGGATTAGATTTGTTGGGGTTCGAGTAGATGGATGAACTGAAACTACTTGATTAATCAGTGAACAGTATATGTCAGCCACCGCAAGACCACCTGCTGTCGCAACCGTCGACTTCAAGCTCGATGTTTCAAAGTCAAGTTGCCGAGATAAAACGAGGTCACGGTGCATTGTTTCAACCTGGTCTCGGATGCTACAACATAGCTACTGACGCATTGAAATTTAAACCAGACGCCAAGCCAGTATTTGGACCAAGACACCTGGTGCCCTACGCAACCCAGTCCTTAGTGGAAGCCGAGTTATACCGACTACAATCTGAAGGGATAATCGAACGAGTTCACTTTTCAGAATGAGCAGCACTTATCGTGATGGAAAAGAAAGGAAACGGTAAAGTCAGTATTTCTGCTGATTTCTAAACAGGTTTGAATGCTTTGTTGGAAGATCAGTATCCCCTGCCAAAACAAGAAACTTGTTCAGCCAACTCAATGGGGAAAGGTTTCGCAAAACTTGAACATTACTGAGGGTAAATACCCACCTCGGACTATTTCAGTACAACCGGCTGCCTTTCGGAGTGAAAACTGCACCGGCCATTTTTCAACTAATCAGGGATAATCTAATGAGCGATATCCCAAACACAGCAGTATAACTGGACGATGCGTTGATTATAAGTTCAGATCCTCAAGACTTGAGATAGACACTGGAGAGAGTACTTTCGCGTCTCGAAAAGGCTGGATTCCGGTTACGGGCTGAAAAATGTGAGTCGCTATTAGAAAGTGTCAAATTTCTTGGGTTTATCATCGGCAAACATGACCGACGCCCGGCTCCTGCCAATATTGAAGCCATCAAAGATGAAGCCCCCAGAAGAGATTGCAGAGTTCCGCTGGTTTCTTGGGCTCGTGAGTCATTACAACGCGTTCTTACCAGGCCCTCACCAAATTAGACGTCCGCTGAACCAGCTACTGACAAAAGACAAGGGTTGGAAATGGACGAAGGAGTGCCAGCAGTCTTTTGATGCAGTCACAGCAGCTCTCACTTCTGATCTACTCTTGACTCACTTCAATCCGAAGTTCAAACTTGTCGTTGCTACGGATGCTTCCAATTATGTTTTCGGTGCCGTTACCTCCAACGTTATTCCGCATGGAGGAACGAAGTCTATCACGCACTCAACACGGTCACTACAGGCAGCTGAAAAGAACTATAACCAGATAGAGAAGGAAACGCTGGCGATTGTTTTCGCAATGAAACGGTTCCATAAGATGCTGGATGACAGAAATTTCACGCTTCTGACTGCTCAAAAGCCACTTCTGTCAATATTCGGTTCAAAGAAAGGAATTCCAGTTTTTACGGCGAACCGATTGCAACGATTGGCGACCATACTACTGGCCTACGACTTCCGTATACAGTATAAACCGACGCAACTAATCGGTCAAGCGGATGCCGTCTTTTATCATCACTTCACACCCAGAGGAGAATGATGATTGTGTGATTGCAGTTATCAGAATCAGAAGTCCAACGAATTCTGGCTGATAATGTGCGAAGACTACTAGTAACAGCCGACACCAATCGTATAGAGACATCACGGGACAGAATCTTGAAGAAAGCGATGCAATGTGTGCGAACATGTTGGCCAAATGGAGGCCTACCTATGGAGTTGCGGCCGCTATACACTCGACGTGGATCCCTGTCAGTCGTGGACCATTATCTGATGTTTGGAGATCGAGTGGTGGTGCCAAGGAACTTGCAGAGGCAAACATTGCAGCGGTTCCACACGGGCACCCTGATACCAGACGAATGAAACTCTTGGCATGCAGTTTTGTTTACTGGCCAGAAATGGATTCGTAAGTTGAAAAATTCTGCCAACAGTGTGAATCTTGTCAACTTGCAGCGAAGGCCCCTCCCTAGTGTCAGTGGCTATCTTGGCGTAAAGCAGAGAAACCTTGGCAAAGAATACACTTAGACTATGTAGGACCAATCAATGGCCAATCCTATCTCGTTTTGGTCGACTCAATCACAAAGTGGCTTAATGTGATTCTGGTAAACAATCCGACTGGTCAGCACACTGTCAACGAGCTGGAGAAGCTGTTCCGATATTTCGGCCTACCAGGGGTGTTAGAGACAGATAATGGAACACAATTTACCTCGACTTCTTTCCGCGAGTGGTGCAAGGAAAGTGGAATTCAGCAGATGTTCCCACCACCATATCATCCGCAGTCAAACGAACAGGCGGAAGGGTTCGTGGATACGTTCAAACGTGCGCTCTGTAAAGCATGGCAAAGAATGGCTTCAAAAGATGCAATTCAATATTTCCTACGCATGTCTTGAAAGGCTCCGAAGCCAAACGCCCCTCATGGGAAATCCCCCACAGAAGTACTATTTGGAAGAAAGGTCCGGACGTTGTTCGATAATCTTTTATCAAGAGAAAATAGGAAAGCACGGCAGTAGTCATCTGGAGGAAGAACGCAAGGTCAGGCTCCGTAACTTCAATGTTAGTGATATGGTTTACTCACGGGATTTTCGAAGGTCGAAGTGGTGGTCGAGCTGAACGAGGTGATGGTTGGATGTGAGAGGTGGATTAGACATATCAAACATTTGAGACCGAACCATGGCAAAACCCAATGTCCCCACGAACCCTCATCTTTGCATTGGGACATTCTGCTAGACACGTTAGGGCTGGAAGTTGAGGGGCAGCATCCCGGTAAGGCAAAACAACTACCGCAGAAATCAGATGCAGAATGCAGGCCGGCTCGGAAGCGGAGAAGACCACAATGGCTGCAAATCTATCCCCGGGCGGAAAACTACGAGTACAATCAGGTTCGAAGGGTGGGCAAACTGACTCAATTCGGAAAGGGAGGTGGCAGCTGGACGAGAAAGCTGATTGCCAAAGCGCGAGTGTTTGCCACTAATCATGCTTGGGAAAGACCCTACGAGCGTGTTGCAAGGACCCAGCCGAAAGCTGATGAAATCGCGCAGCAGACAGCTGGCGTGTTGACAAGGCCTGACCGGAAGCTGAGGAAAACACGCAGCATACAACACGTGCGCTGCCATGCATCGGGTAGGCGGACGAAGACTGGCGTGCCCGAGCAAGACGGTGAACTGGACATGTGTGGAGCGTGGGCTTACAGCTGAATCCGCCAGGCGATGTGTAGATGATTGGTGAGATCGACATATAAGCATGAGCGTTCTCGGTCCTAATACAACTGGTCTGCTGAGTCTTCTTCTGTCTTCCTTCCTGTCGGGTTTGTCAAGGCGTCAAACAGAACAGGCGTAAGGGCGCAGATGTACCAGCAGTCGTGAATCAACCGGTCGATTGCGGGTACAGCGGTATAACAGTGCCGAACCCTCGTTTGTCAAAATTGCTGCCCCCTGTCACAATTAGCACCGTCTGCGCTCATACTGGTGTTGCAAACCGGCTGGTTGTTCGAAACTCTCGGGAAGCCTTTGTAACAATTGTGAGCTTCACTCACACCAATGTGCGAACGTGACTGTCGGATAAAACAGTGGAACATAAGGGGTCACCGACTATGCTGCTGGTTTCTTAAGCGTTTTCAGACTTTTGAGCAAAGTACAGTGGACATACGCAGTATGAGGCACAGTGCTTTCAATGACAGCTGCATGCTGATACATGTCATGACCTCGAACATTACCGGTGCGGAAGCCAGATGGTGGGCGAGGGTACTCTGCACATTAGTTTCCAATGATCTGGATGATCCATGGATTGGTCTCAGTTTGTTGGTAAATTTTGCACTTCGCACCAGGTGCCGAAAACTCATTGTTCGGGAAATGCCGCGCGCTGTCATGTGACGCCCCGGGGCGGACCGCCCTCCCTGCCCCCTTGATACACCTGTGGTAGTTGCTGCTTTTGAGTGTGGGATTGTGCTGACCCATGTGGGGTCGCCTGTCGTTCGTTCGTTTGTTCAAGCGTAATCACTTGCCACTGGGCAAACCTGGTTTGGTTTGCAGAGATTTGGCGTCAGTAATCCGCTGTAAACTTAGATATCCTTCAGCTGACCGAGTGTTTTGACTGCATCCTGGTTCTGAGCGGCCGGCATGTACAGCGTTATCTCGTCGATTTGTGGTCTTCGGCGCATTGACTTTGTAGGTATTTCGAGTGCTAGCTTCTTGTACCTCTTGATCCAAGTTTCCATTACCATTTCTGTCATAGCTTTAGGTTGCAACATTGCTTTTGGCACCGTAAAAGCCGCTCCCTCTAAAGTTAGGCAATGATGGCAACCTTGTGGTCGAATAGGCGCTCAAACTTTCCAATGCCTTCTAGCTCACTTGAGATCTGAAGCTCGGGGATACCGTGGACAACAGGCAGTTTTACGTCATTTTGTTTGCGGTAGTCGTCCGAGTCTAGTTTTCGTTGCTGGCGTTCATTCCATGGAACATCCGGAATAATGCAAACAGGGCTTTTAGCTGTTTGAAGGTGGGTGGATGACAATAGAAAGGTCTCTGTATCAGCCACTGACTGAAGCGTTATTTTGAGTAATCGTGGTTCACTCTAGTGTCGCGAACTTGTACGTCAAACTAGGCGCATCATATTGACCGGCTTTGCTTTATTCCCAATTGGCAGATGGCGTCCGACTGTTTCTGGTCGTCTAGCAGCTAATCTTTAAAGGAGACTCCCTGGGATTCAGGGACATTGGAACATATAACGGTAAGAGAACTTTGCTACTGGTTATTGTTCTCCTTTTAGTAGGGTTCTGTGGCTGCTTACTAGGATCGGACAACAGGTGACATTCCAGGTCCCTTGTTTGTTTTGGTGACCCTAACTTCTCCTATTTTGTCTGCGATTGAGGCTATGGTGGTAGGTGTCGCTGTCTTGTTGGTGGTAACAACAGACGCGTATGTTGTTTCTCGCTTAGCAGTGTTGAATGTACCGCGACGCTTTGAGGAAGTATGCTGTCAGTGAGGTGATCATTAGAAGCGGCCTCCTTATGGGAGCTGAAATCATCGTGGTAGGAGTGCCCAACTCTTGAGCAGTGTACTCACGCCCAACTTTGCCGCCCAACTGTTTCGAATTGAAGGTTGATGTTGTACATCCGACTAGAGGCTGTGATCATTCTGGGTCCAGTGGGGCAGATCTTTTGGCAGTCGGTCGTTCTACAATCTCTGCAGTCTGTCGCACTTCTGAGTCATCATTTCTATGCATCTGACGATTAGATTAGCCGTACACTCTGTGTAGTACAAAACGGAATCGGTCGTGTTATTTTGGTTACCTCACTTAGGCTAAGGATACAGCACCTAGAATTAACTTTTTAAACTGTTATTTTATTCTGTTGCAGTTCATATGTTCTTAAAACGACCTCCATAGTTAGCGTTCGATTATAATGCTGTAGGCTTAGCTCTACGCGCGCATGCATTATGTGACATACCCATCGCCAATTCAATTCGTTACTTGAAGTGTCGATCCTCGCGAGATGTGTTGATGAATGTTTTGATCCAACAGAGTAGCGCATGCTATTTGGTTTGTCCAGGAACAGGTAGGTTAATATTAGGTCATGTTGGGACCGACGATACCATTCACTGCTGCTCCAAAGGATGTCAACCTCCGCTCGTAAGGCAGACCACGAATTTCGGATGCTGAGGTTTCTCCAGTAGATGAAAACGTGTTTAGCCATCGCTGCCATGAAGAACGGCATAAGCACATATCATTTGACGAAAAATAAATGACCGTGTGAAAATGTTTTTTCAATCCTACCTTTGTGGTTACATACTTTTGATACTTTCAGGATTGTTTGGAGCAATACAAGTCGCGCTAACTACTACGCCTAGGTCACGTTCAACAGAGCAGCGCTGCAATACGTGCTGGCCGGGTCTGTAGGAGTAGATGCTCTGGCGCCATACAAAAAGCACGTTTCATGGTCAATGTTAAGTTACCTTAAAATTTGCATTGTCCCACCAATAGACCTTATGTAGGTCACACTAGAGCAATTTTTAGCCGGCTTTTTTAATATGCTTTTGCCATATCGCAATCCCAACAGCATACAATCTGAACTCTGTTGCTCTAGTTTGTGTGAGGTTACGTATAAACAGAAATCACAAACGTGGCGCTAGAGTTGATCCCTACGGTAGCCATACTCAACTTGTTTGTAGGCGGGTAGAGCTTCAGACAGTCAACTGTCGATGAGGGAAGAAGTTGGCGTTTCAATTCGAAGTGGGGACACCGTTTAGCTGAAAATCAAAGCCTGAAATGTATGATTTGCTGTTTTGGATGGTCGGATGCCTTGTATTTAGGTAGGAAGCCCGTGTTTTCATAAAGCATTCAAAGGACCCATTGAATATTGCTCTTTTTCAGCTTGCCAAATGCGGATTGTTGTTCTATCAGGAACATGTGCCAGAAAGCATTATGGTTGCTTTCGGTTTCCAGTTGGACAATCTCTTCGCAGTGAGCAAGGTGTGGTATGCATACAGTTTGTTCACATTACATTTGACCTACAAACCTCCATTTTAGGAGTGCTCACTTACTTCTTAATAGGTATCAAATGTTTTTGTGGTATTAAGTAGACAGCATTTGTAGGAAGCACTCGGTAAAATCCAGTTGATTTAAGTATTAAAAGGGAATGGTATTTTTAATCGGAAGCAAGCACTTGAATTGGTTGGGTGACTGATCACGATTACACCTTAAATTACAAACAGAAGCCCACAAAGATTTGCGCTTGTTGCATAGCATCAACATCAAGTTTTCTCCACCGTCCTGGTTATACCTGGCAGCATGTGCCTCCAAACCTTTCAGCAACGTATACACTTATTTCTCATAACGAACGGGTGTTGTCTACTATCCAATGGTGATGGTATTCACATTTTCTCATCGTTCTTCCTTAGAAGTTACCTTGGAGGTTGAGCGTGTGTGGATGAGATAAAGGACACTGGATGCAAGCCACTCATGGGTTATGCATAGGCACAGATGAGGTTTGCGGTCGCGGTGACAGAAAAATTAAAACAATCGATGCTGCTACCAACACATTATCATCAGAAGCATGCCTACATATATAGGCATTAATACATAAACTGTTGCTCGTTTCCCCAGGAATTTGAACAGTCTAAAGTAGCTCCAAAAGGGGTAACCAGCATGTTGGCCTGTGCAGAGGTCACTCCAGCATTTGCATTTATTCATCTGTCCCACCGATCAAAATTCTGACGTGCGTCCTTACGTTGAAATCACTATCCAAGCTTAACGAGTTGGACAGATGCGGCGATAGACCTCACAACGTGAGACGAGGAAGTACAAGGAACGTCCCCATAATGTTTCATAACGAAAATGTTTAAAGCAATCGAAGTTTTCTGTGGACGGGAACGACAACTGCGCGAGCTCGCATATTAGTACGCAACATATTGAGTGATCCCAATCACGCATGCTGCCAGTTGCTGCAGCGCAGATTTAACATCAACCTCAGTGGTAACCACCCTCAACTAAGTCAGTCATACATGGTTTTAGAATGTTTGGCGGAATTTACTGTACTTTCGGGCCTGTCAATCCTGTGACGCCTTTTCAAACCGAGTTGTCCACTCTATTAGTGAGAGTGCCATCACAAATATTGGGCACTGCTCTCAGCTGTTTGCACTTTGTGGCATTATCCGCTATCCTTTATCCGTTATCTTTTGTCTCCCTCTTTCTCCCCAATTTAGCCTTACTGGATTCGCATGTACGCGGAGGCGTAGGTGTGTAAACATCTTATTTGTCTCCTAAGTCAGCTCGACTACTACGTTCATGTGCGCCGATTACAAGCTAGAATTTAATTCCCGAATTTCCACATCTGTCATGCGCAGTACCTTCAATTCATTTGCATCTTTGCCCATAGTGTTTGTTACCGTTTCTCCTTTTCTTTGGTGTGCATTTTTATTCATGGCACGTGTACCGTTTGGCTTTAATTTCTCATCTAAACCGCCTTACAAGAGTTATTAAGCATTGACTTTGATGCTACTAGTAAAGAATTCCTTATTGTTCCTCGTAACTAATAACTGCTGCTGGAGCAGGAATTGGGAATCATTACTTGATGATTATATTAATAATAATTAATAGGCAAAAGTTCATAATCTGAAAGTCTTCCGGCTGTAAATAACTGTGGTTTTTGTGTGCTGTCATAAATATAATGTTGGTAAATAGCGGCAGCTATTACATTAATAATCAGTTATCTGGATAAATCTGCCTAAATGAGAGGAGTGATGGACGCCAAGTGTTTCTTACTTACTCAGTTAAACGAGTTTCAGTGTGAATTTCGAAGTCTAGCAAGGATTCGAACTCGAAACCCATTGTATACTACGTTGTGGCAAAGTATAATTGAATGGAATTTAAATTCGTATCTGGCTACATTTGCAACCTGAACGCACAAGTGATATTTTACGTTATAAATGCTATCTTCTAGTTTAATTGCACTGGCATACAACGCGTCACTTATTTAAAGGATTAATGCGCGGCGTTTAGCATTGTTTCTCAACCAGGAAGATAAAATGTTTGAATTTCTAGTTAATATGGCGACTGACAATCGTAGGTGGACGGCCAATAGCACCAAGCAAACAGGCAGGTTCCTGCATCTACTTTCTACTTTACATGACATAACTGCCGAGGATAAAGGATAGTGGCGACTTACGAGGGGTCAGTAGATACCTAACACTGCACTTAAGCCCAAGACGCTAGGCAGCATCCTCGAATCCTTATTGGATTTGCAGGTGGACTTTTAAATACGCATTCACCGGTAGATAAAAATTATGAGGGAAATGCATGCAATATAAACTATAGCGTCACAAGTATACCTGAGGTGCGTGCATCATAGATTGACAGAATTCAACTAAAGAGGTACACGAAATAAATCACTTTTAATAAGCAATCGAACAGGGAGGTAATGGAATTCGTGCGGCTAAGTATAAAAGGGCTTAATATGTTCCGGAAGTGAAACAAACAAAGCAAACATGTGAATGTGTTTAAAAAGCAAGCTTTCTATTGAGCTTGGCGGATAATGCTTATTTGCACAAATTTGGTTTGAAGTATATGTTGAAGACGCGCATACAACTGTTGGGAATGCCACTCACTCCAAGACCCAGTCGTTTTATCCATCAGCCTAGACAGATCTTGTAAATGCACACATTGATATAAACACGAATAAGACTATTTCTGATTGACATCACTCTATGTAATATCTACTAGACAAGTAACCCTACTCAACCCTCCTACATTCTGCACGTCGATAGTATCCTTCCAACCGTCGTAAAAAAAGGAGTGTGATGCATTTCATCGATTAATTAAAGCTGCTACACAAGTCCCAACATGAGTAAGGCTATGCAACAACTTGCGCTCGGTCCATTACTCATCCTACTTTATACCATTGCCATAAGTACCGTTATCAAACAGTTTATCGTTCTTAGTTACCGATGACAAAATTTGTCTACCCGTTCCGACGAGCTGACCTGCAGAACGTACTGGTACTCATTTATGATGACATTACTTCTCTGTAGAAATGTTGCGACATGTGCATGGTGAAGTTTTCGGCACAGAAATCGAGTATCATTCTTCGTGGTCATTTGATAGTCGCAGGATCTTTCACAGTTGTCAATGGATGCCTCTATATGCAACTGTCTACAAGCGGTCTCTTAATCAGACTCCTGTGTACCTTTTAGGTTGTAGCAACCTGCTTGAAACAAAGTTGTTGCGCTCCACTCCCTAAAACACCGTATATGTTTTACTTACCAACTATCCTCAACCAGATAATCACCGGAACTGCAAGAAAATGCACCATCATTCTTTAGCAGTGAGTCGGATTCCCGTTTATATGGACGTAGAAGATGTCCAATTTACGTAGAGACCGCGAATCAACCACCTCACAGGCTCAGTTTAATATTAGCGGGCCGCACCTATGAAGTGGACTTGGGAGCCTACATAGCTCACAAAACAACAAAATCCTCATCCGTACCATATACTCAAGCTCCTTCTGCTGAGTGGAACTACTGTTGCTTTTGTCTTTTAACCCTGCTAGTACATCTTTGCCAATGTGTTAGTATTGTTGCCAAACCATAACAGCAGCACTCGTGAAGTAGAGATGATTCGGCTGTCAAACAATCTACTAGTCGCCATCCATCAATCGGAATAGGTGAAGCAGGTTTACTGTCTCCGAGGCCTGAGATCTTACAGGCCAGTATTCAACAAGTTCACATAGCCCTACAAAATACATCGGGTATTATGAGTTTCCAAGAAAAAATCTGTTGTCAATACTTTTCTTGCGCGTTCCCACAAACTCGCTGCCTTCGGTGGCAATATTTTCTCATGAAATCTAGAAATGACGTTTGTAGGAATGTCATCTCCATGCTAACCTGGTAGGTAATGCTATCAAAATAGTAGTGTTTCCCAAATTGGAAAACCAAATACTGATAGGTTAACGAAAGTTGCTTATGCATGCTTTTGTCAGTTGATTTTACGGCTGTCAAACTTTCCTCACATAGGTCCGATGTTTGATGCATGCAGTTTCCTCAGCGGTTTCAGTAGATGTGTCTTCCAATTCAACAGCTATTAAGAGCGAACATGTTTAAACTGCATAACCCAAAGGTAGTTTTATGCAACAGCGTTTAATACTAGTCTCTGGATCAGTAAACGTCAGCCTGTCATCTCCATACCAGGAGTCGATCACATGTTCGCAAATGCGACTGTCCCTAGCTACTGTGAATTCCTTGGTCCCTCACTAATGTTGGGATTGACCCGCGCATTAAGCACGTATTTACACACACTAGTCTAATGAGCTCATACAACTCAGTTGTCTCTTTACTTCAAGTACTTATATATATATATATATATATATATATATATATATATATATATATATATATATATATATATATATAGACAGTGGGACGACACCTCCGGGTGTTCAATGGTTTGCTACTGCCCGCCTCAAGCAAGGCAGGCCCTGGTCAAATTGGTGCAAACCCACCAAAACCCACCCGCGTCTGGCCGTGGTCGCAGGTGCGTATCCTACTACGGTCACAAAACATATAATAATCGTTCCAGTACCTCTAAGGCTGCGTGTGACGGCCGTCATGCAGATCCCAACCTGTCTCGGCAATCACATTCCCGAGCTGGATCTGCTCCCCACTGCCTTGTGTGTCAGGCTCTTGAGCCAAAGGCTCCGGGTGGAGTCACTCAAGCAAATCTCCAAGCATAACGACCACCTCGCGTGCGATTTCCCACCAATGCAATCGTACGCCTGAGCGCAAAACACTCAGCATCGGGTGCTGGAACGTGCGCACACTACTGGACCGGAACTCCAGCGAGCCCCCGGAGGGACGCACTGCACTCGTTACGATGGAACTGGCGCGCTACCACATCGATATTGCAGCGCTCAGTGAAACCCGACTCGCTAGCAGGTGCAGACTACACATTCTACTGGGTGGGCAATGGCGCCTCAGCAC